CATCTTAGATGGACTTAAAATCACTTTTATCCCCATCTTTGACAAAGGTATAAGTGTTTTTAAATCCATCTTGTATGGTACGTCTATCATACTGCCATGGTCTACCCAATTGAAATGACCTGCATCCATAGGGACGACATCGCCCCACACCTTATCTTTATAATGCTTTCCAATAGAAAAAGAAACTAGACAATATTTTCACAGCTGCCCCATTAATGATAAGATTGCAAATCTTCTTGTAGGCCGTGCATCGAGTGTGGAAAAAATTAGTGCGCAACCAATCTGCCTCATCTACTACTTTAGGTGTCACCATGCTGCGCCGGATCACCAAAGCCTCCCCATGGTCATGCTCTTCTCCCTCAAGCTCTTCATCATAAATAGGGTTTCCATCAAAGGATAGTTTGTTGTCCTCATCGTAAACCTCCTCAGCAAGGGCCACAAATTTTCTATTCGGGCACTGAGAAGAGACATGGCCTATCCCCGAACGCTTAAAGCATTTGTTGGTGCTGTTGTTCGAGCGATTTGGTCCGACTAGAACTAGCCCCAACACCCACAGTTTTCTGCTGTTTGGATGGACCAGCAGGCCAAGAGGACTGTCCACCCACTAGATTTCCACCTTTTCCCTTAAATTCGCTTCCACGGCCACTTGAGCTATCTTGGCTTGGAGCCTGCCTTGATGATGGACGCCTCAAATGAGCTTCAACCTTAACTGCAAGGTTTTATTCATCTTGTGATAGAGGTATTGCAAATGATTTTCAGGCATGTATTTTTCTTTTAATTTCTTTTTCATCTTCTCCCATATATTAATTTTAGACTTTCCCATCCTCTCTCTTTTAGCCCTAAGTTGTTCCCACCTTGCTGTGGCACCTTTTTTCAATTTTATGGCAATAATTTTTACCTTTTTATTTTCAGGTACATCCTTATAGTAAAAACCCTTTTTACTGTATTTAACCAATCTATAAACTCCTCAGGTTGAGGCTCACTGTCAAAATCAGGTATATCCACCTTCAAATCGACATCCCGAGAGTGACGCAACCCACGTCTAGGTCTACGGTCGCTATCCTCATCACTCAACTCTACACGCGAAGCGTGATAGTGAAAGGGGTTGTATTCGAGATCCTCTTGGGTTGAAAGATCATCGTCTTGGCCATTATTGAGGCTCGCTTGTGTCTGCTATTGAACTTGTCTTTGAAGTTTATCAATTCTCTCATTTCATAGGTTTGTCGAAATCACAAACCCTAAACAATTAATCAACAAAAACGGCTGAAATTAGCAATATCTAGGTTGTTTTGGCAAAATTTTGGCCTAAATCAGCAAACCCTAGACCCCATTGTAAGTTCTCTCTCTTTGTTGCTAACTTAGGGAACCAAAAAAAAGTGGTGCTACAGTAACTCCGAATGTGCTATAGTAACTTCTGTGTAGATCGCGTGCTTAGATACCATTGGATGTAGGAGAACTTGAAGAAATATAGAAATCAGCAAGAAAGTACTGACACAAGCAATTTTGGAGAAACCCTAAAGCTTTTTCCTACTTATGGCTCAAGCTTTAGGCTTCTTTTATAAGACAAAGTCTTTCTTTTCGTAAGGAGGAATATGTGAATGTCTCTCCAGCCCATTCTCACCCTTATTTATAATGAAAAATTATTGTTTTGGACAATATTTATCCATGCAATTAATTTTTGACCAAAAGGTCCTAACTTAAGTATAACTTGAAAATAAACTCCATAACTTCAATTAAAATATCTAAAACGTTCCAAGGTTAATATTGTAAAAATAAAATCTAAAAAGTCTCTAACTATTCCAGCAATGAAATAGATAAAATAAACATCTAAAATAACTTTTAAAACTAAAAAAAAACATTCAAACTATTTCTTGCTCTTCTTGTTATTCTTGGAAACCCTCTTAGTGTTTTCATCATTCAAATATGAGCGAAAGTTAGGAGGAATCTGTTGGAAATATGACCTATTAAGGCCTAAATTCCAGTAGTTTCTCATTCAGTGGGAGTGATTGAGATATTGAAATCTTGGCTTCTTGCGAAATGGAGCCCAAATTCTTTTATCCCGAGTACGCATGAGGCATCGAGAGTTCACGTGTTGAGAAAGCAATTTCTCAAGGAGGTGTGAGGGTCACCTCCTAGTCAGGATTTTATAAGTTAGCCTCATGCTTAGCTGCAATCGGCCATAGTTTGGAGAATCCAAATGAGAAAAATAGAACTCAAGTACTTATTGAGTATTTGCCCTTTATAGAATGGTCAAGACTTGTGGGACATAAGTCCGTATCGTGACACAAGACCATTGCATGGCATGTGCATTGTCATTTCGTACAAGAAACCATTCTTCCAAATGCATTATTCAAGTTTGGAAGAGCCAGTGCGCATGTGCTTTGAGAGGACCCCTATAATTGAGTTGGATCATGTTCCACAGGGGTACACCTGTAATCCATTGAGAGCCGAATGATCGGAAGTTCTGGCTCAACGGCTTTGATATGACCAATTATGTGTCTCTGTTTTAGACTGTGGAACATAGGTCTATTGGGTCGATCTGAGACTCGGCGGAATATCATTCGGGACTAGCCCAATGGAGTACTCCGATACCTATAGTTATTAGCCTGAGATCTCACTATACCTTTTGTCCGATTTTATAATGATGAGAAAAACCTAATAATTGCTCAAAAAGCCTTCAAATATTTATTGTGAATTTTAGAGAATTTTTTGGAATTTTATTTGCTAAAAAAAATAAGGCTTGTCATATTGTTGGGGTCAAATTCCACTTTAGTCCTGACCTGGTAGTGCTATGTGGTGTCCGACTGGCCATAGGGCAGCCACATGGCACCCCACACCTCACTCTAGGATCATCGCCCAATTGGGCATTGATCCTTAAGCGGGGGACTAGATTGGCATTTGGTTGCTTGTTTTATAAGGGGTTGTGTTATGGCGTCTTGTTATATATTGTTATATAATGTTATAAATTAAGGCCCCTTTTTTATCACATGTCTTAATTAACTCACACATGGGTCATGCATGGCATGTGTGAAGTTTAATTAATTTATTTATTTGATATTAAAGAGAAAATGCATTTTTTAATTTGAGTTAAAAAATATCTTCACACACGTGTGAATGGGATATTATCTTTAAATTGATTGGTTTGAAATTTTAGATCTACAAAGTGATTGGCTTTGATAAAGAAGAATATCTCCACATGTATGAGCTTTGCCAATTACTTGTTTGCCCTTTAGCCTTTGTGGTTATCTACTCTAATACATTATTAAAAAAACTAAAGGTATTTTTGTAAGGCCATATTGGATACAATTAGAACAAAAACATTGGCCAAGGACAAAATGGTAAAGTGGCATAACTTAGGGTTAGGGTGAGTGATAATGGTGTGAAATCCCATCCCTTCATCCTAGTGGTTGGATGATGATGGGTGGCTAGGTACATTAGCCTCACATGTGCCTTTGGATTAGTGCATCAATGATATTGATTGAATCCAAAGTTACACCTATGTTATAAAAGCACATCATGATATCTCAAACCCTAGCTATCTTAACTCTTGAACCATTTTGGAAAATTGTTGCTCCCCTCTTTTTTCTAAGGTTTTGTGAGAGAAAATTGAAGAGAGAGAGCTTTAGAGTTCCATTAATAGTGCTCTTGATGGTGGTCTTCCTTTCTTATGCTTAAGTCTATAGTGTGCATTTATCAAGGTAAACGCCATTGAATTTTCTTTTCTCATAAGATCATATCCTTAGCATTTATAGTTGCTGGAGTTTTGAATTTAGAAAAGTTTCATTGATCTTAGAATCCCCATTTGATCATCTTTTTCATCATGCTTATTCATAGTGGGGTCCTTCATGAGTTATAGCTTATATGCATGAGAATCCATGATCATGCATAGTATCCATTAATTACTTTGCTTCAAACCCATCGAATAATTTAGTCTCAGAGTGTCACTCCGTTTTCAAAACTTTTTCATCACGTTTTTACCTATGGGGGTTCATAATCTTGCCATACAAGACTGTTTTGGTGGTCCGAGGGACCACCGTGTGTAGTTTGGCCATAACTCTCTTGTTCTTTATCCGATTCGATTCACACGTTTCGCATTCTGTTTTGGATGATAATGCCAATGTGTTGAGATCTTAAGAAGTGATTTTAAGGTGCGTAATTTCTTCCCATTTGGATTAGACACTCTTGGGAGATTGAACCACTTTTGTACAATTCGAAAGGACAAAATTAAGTTTTTATAGGGCCCGATTGCGTGGCCCCGGCACAAGGGGTTCGAAACATGGCTTTCCTATTTTAATTTGGCATTCTAATTCCCTGTTTAGTTGATTTTATTCTTTAGAATTTTGTTTAGATTTGTTGCTTGATGTATTTAAGCTTTGGGACATAGTTTATGTAATTTGTGCTATGAAAGTGTAATTCATGAGCTAGTATTGCTTTATATGTAATTGCCCCATAAGGAGTTGGTATTTGAGTTTATTTACAGTGGTTATACAAGGCTAGAAATGGTTGTAATTGTTATGTAAAAGGATGGTAACTTATTCACTTAGCTTGGTTTTTAGCAAGTGGCTTGTTGAAGGTGTCCACTTTGCCTTGTTTTTTGGCTTGGAAATTTGCTCTTGTCATTGTATCCACTTTCAGAATTTGTCACTCCCAAACAAGATACTCATGGCTACTTGTTATGCTCCGATCACCATCATCAAGATCTCTATGTGATTTGATGGTTCATGAGGCACCTTATCATCTCTTGTCTTTCTTTTCCTATATCCAATCTGAAAATGGATTGATCACATGACCATATTTCACGTTGCGGATCATGTAGTTCATGTGGACTCTGGTCCTTAGGGATCTGGTTTTTCGTAGTTATTACCTTTCTAGCCTGCGTTGTTTCAATGCCTGAAGTTGTGAACATAGGTTTCGAAGCAGATGCTTGGTATTTGATAATTGTTGATGTTTCCTGTTATGATTCTAAGAATCAACATTATAACTCTCTCAAAATAATACAGGATTTCATCTGCAGATTCAAAAGATAGTGATCCGTCTGTTCTCGTTAATGGCCATTTTGATAGTCCACTTGGATCCCCTGGTGCTGGTGATTGTGCCTCTTGTGTAGGTGGGTTGTCGAACATGCGTCAAACTCTACATTTTTTTTCTTCTAGTTATGTCTTGTGCTCATTCGTGGACTAATATAATCTATTCTTGCAGCATCTATGTTGGAGCTCGCACGGCTCATAGTTGAATCTGGTTGGGTTCCACCTCGGCCTATTATATTTCTCTTCAATGGTGCTGAAGAGGTTTTTCTCTTGGTAAGTAACTGTAAATAAATTTAAAGCGTGAAAGGCTTGCCTTTACAACTTCTTTCCTTTGGCTTTTGTAGGGGGCATCCATTTAAGGTTATTAGAATTTAAACTGATTTTATTCATGAATTTTTTTTTTGTTTGGGGGAGGGGGCGACCCTAGAAAATAGGTTTTTTGAGGAGAGTTACATGGGCCCACCATTCTTATGGAGGGTCATATATGTGCTCATATGAGCTCGAAATCACTTTTTTCAAAACTGTTCATTTGGTGATTTTAAAAACCTCTACAAAATAGTGTCAAACAAATCCCCTAAGATGGTGATGAACGTTGGAGTATGTGATCTTTTTCCTACACACACATATAGTAAAAGATCCTATAAGCCAACATGCTTATACTGTAGATTAAGCCCATTACAGCTAGAGTGCTTTGTTGGACTACAAATTTTGCAGAGATGCTCATCTCATTTTGGCAATCAAAATAAGAAAAGAAAATGAATTCACAAAAAAGAAAGAGCATGTGGTCCATTTTTGGTGCTGTTCATTTGATTGGTGGTGGATTTGGGCTTTCAAGAGCTCAAATGTTGTGTGTGTGTGTTTTTTCGAGGTAAATTGTTTGTTTTTTGAACCAAAGACATTGTGCAAATCCCTCTAGCAATGTGCCTTAACGAACCGGCTTCTAGTGTAGCATAAGCATTGGCTAATAAAATCTTCTTCATATCTATTTTGGATGGATTCAGATACTTCAGCGAGGTCATGCTTTATTTTGTACTTCACACGTGCTCATTTTCTATTTTCTGGGCTTTATGTTCCATCTGAAAGCTTCTCAATTATGGTTGCATTGATAATTGGTCATTTAGAGCTTTATACATGATACTGTTTTCTTTTCTAAATGTGTATTTGCACCTGCACATGTGAGCCATTCTGTTATGTTGTTCATTCAGTATATTTCTATATGTCATGCTTAATGCTGTCTTTCCCCTTGTTTGGATCTTTGGAAATGTCAAGCCAGAATTGTAGTATCTTGGATTTGGGGCAGGTGGAACCTTTTTAGCGGCCTATTTGGAGGCAAAATTCCTGGAATTTCCAAGAAAAGTAGAAAAATATTTGGAGACCAATTGCCCCATATCTTGGATAAGTCCGTAGAAAAAAAGTAGTTATATCAAAGATATGCAATTCACATATCCAAGTTGGCACATGTAAGAGAGAAAGAGAGGGGACTTAGAGAAAGAAAGGAGTTAGAGAGAATATGCAGGGTTAGGGAGAGAGGATTCGAGAGAGAAAGGATACCATATGAAAGAGAAATGACATTGTAAGAGAGAAAATAATTAGAGAGGAGTTAGAGAGAGAAAGGGTATGGTTAGAGAGGAATTAGAGATAGAAAGGGCATGATTTGAAAGGAGTTAGAAAGAGAAATGACATGGTCAGAGAGAGAAAGGAGTTAGGGAGAGGAATGGCAAAGAGCATAGTCAGAGAGAGAAAGGACACAGTACAGGAGTTGGAGAGAGAAAGGGCATTATTAAGGGAGAAACATAGGAGTCAGAGAGAGAAAGGTACGATTAGAGAAAGAAAAGAGAGTTAGGGAGAGAAAGGGCATGGTTAGATAATGGAGTTTGAGCCTTAGATAAATTAGTTAGCGAGAAATGTCTTAGTTAGAGTGAGAACAGAGTTAGAGAGACTTTCAAATGCTCAATGGCTTTAACTTTCAATGCCAAAATCATATGCTTTTTTTCCTAAAGTTAAGAAAATAAAAGGCGATCCTCAAAGAAAAAGTCATAGTTTTGAATAAACATAAACTAATCTTTCAAAGGAAGGAGAAATAAAATTACATTATTATGATTTTAATATTATCATCATCATCATCCTAGCCTTATTCCGACTATTTGGGGTCAGTTACACGAATCTTGTTCTTCCATTTTGCTCTATTAAGGGCCATGCCCTCAGTTAGATCATAGTCAAGATCATAGTCAACATATCTCGTTTTTACTTCCATCCATATCCTTTTCGGCCTTACCCTTGCCCTTTTAGATCCTTTCAGTTAAACCAAATCATGCCTCTTGACCGGTGTTGTTCTAGGTCGATGCTGCACATGGCCAAGCTACCTAAGTCCACTTTTCCACATCTTATCACCGGTTGGAGCTACCCTTAAGTTCTTTTGGATGTATTCATTTCGAATTCCATCCATTGTTGTCTTGCTACTCATCCATCTCAACATCCTTATCTTAGCTACACTCATTCTATGGATATGCTGCGTCTGGAGTACCCAACGTTTTATCCTATGAGGCATGATTGGTCTTACAACCATCCTATAGAACTGCTTCTTCAATTTCATGGTAATGCGATGATCACACGAGACTCCAGGAGCACATATCCACTTTGTCCACCTAGATCTAATTCTATGCATGTCATCTTCTTCAATCTCTCCATTCTCGTGGATTATCGACCCAAGATGTAAAACATAATTTCTTTTAGAACGATCTAAATATATAAATAAAAATATCTACCCTTTCAACTATGGGGAGAATCACAAGGATATAAACAGATCGAAAAAAAGAAAAATCATAAACCTTTTATGACTTGAAAATAAAATAAAATTGACAAATTCAAGATTTATAAGCAAGTAAGTGGAATAGTAGATTTGCAAAACCTGAATTTCATCAAGATGTTCACCAAAGCAACATTTATCCAGAATCTAGGATTTGTATCTCCTAGATGATTCATATCTAGGATTTGATTCAAATTCCCGACTGAGATTTCAAAGGAGTCAAAGGAGTGGTAGAGTGCTATATTTAGATCCTTTTTGTACTGGATTTTTAATGTAGACATGAAAAAGATTGACGAAGGCTGGTCATTTGTGTAGAAGTTCAGCAGTTCTTTGGAGATCATTTGCATGGATCTTTTTTATTTGTCATTCCTTAAAAAATTTGCCTTGAAGTTATTATGCCATCTAGGATAGTTGTTTTGAGGTTCTTTCTAGTGGATCATATACCTCTATTCTTAATATCTATGGATTTAATTCTAGGGTTCCCATGGATTTGCAACAACGCATAAATGGTACAATTCAATTGGAGCTTTCATAAATATTGAAGCATCTGGCACTGGTGGCCTTGGTAAGTTTGGACTTAATATTGTTAAATTTTTGTTTTAGTCATTTAGGGATAGCGTGCATCTCAATATAAATTTCAGTCACAAGGCATCCCAAAAAAGTTGGTAGCCATGTGGAAAGTTATTTTTATGTTAACTTAGGTATGAGGGTCCTTTTTTTTCTCTCATGTTGATTCATATTTGCTCCTTACTTGAAGTGATTGAAAATTGGCTTGTTGGTTTAAACTTTACGTGTTTTTCTCATTCTTCTAATGAGTTTGGTTTTCCATTTAATTGATATTTTTTCTCCTCTTAACGCAATTGGAAGTAGTTAATCATATGAGTTCTAATCTATCACAAATTCACTTAAGGGGAATGTACTAATGGTTTAGAGAACATTACTTTTCTATCTCTTACCCCTTCAGCCCTTCCTCCAGTCTTGGCAGCCATCTTGTGCTTGATGTAGGCCATGTTGGGGCTTACTTAAACTCAATTTTGTTGGCTCCTCACAGTGTGTCTCTGGCCTGGATGGAGTTGGGGGAGTTGTGTAGGAATGTCAATGGAAGAGTTAAGTACTTCTTTGGGCCCTATTGTCCTATGTGATTCCATCGTACTGCGGGCAAAAGCAAATCCTACAGGTTACCAGCTTTGTGATTTAGTTTCTTTGTCCCCTATTATCATTGAAAGTTCTTGTGTCAACTTCAATATGTCATTAAGTGGTTGCTTACAGAAAATGGGGCATCTTGGGATCTGTCTATGGTCTTTGAAGTTATTTCCAACTAGCGCAGATTGGTGGCAGTAGGGTTTTGCCATGTCCTTAGAGAGGACAATGAGGTGGCCAGTGGACTGGCTAAGACAAAAGGTGGTGGGCAAAATCTTAATGATGGAGGGGGTGTTTTGGGTTAGTGACATGTCAAGCTGTCATTTCTTGGATCTTTACTTTGTTGTAATTTATACTTTCTTCCTTTATAAAGTGTTTATTTTCAATGAAAGGTACTTGTATTAGCTCAGTTAATCAATTCTCCCATTCATGGTATACTGCCATCTGTGGTATTCTGAATGTTTTTTTATTTGGTGAATTTTTGCAGTGAGCAATATCTTGTGTTTCTCTTCCAAGATGGCATGCTTCTGTTATAATTATGCATTACATAATGGATTTGTCCATGGTTGTACATGATTACAACTGCAGGGATAATTCTGACATTGCATCTCTTTTATTTCTTATGCCATTTGTTTAAAAGTAAGGGCACACTACTTCTAGTAAAAGCCCTCCATAGTTCTGAACTTGAATTTTTCTAGTTTGTGGTCTTTCAACAAAAATAGAACACTTTTGGACAAGACTTTTCATAAATAGAATTTCCAAGTTCCCAAACTTGCTTGTGTTTACCATCTTTTTAGTATATGTATGATTACCTGTCCAATATGGTTTTATTTACTTCCATATTTGTTTCCTGGAGTGACTGTCAGCAGGGAGGCACAAGGTAATCACTTGGATTTTCATGCCTGACAATAGCCAATTAAAGGAACAGGGTAGGAGAGGGATTACAAAGGACCTTAATTGTTGAAAAGGTCCCACTCACAAACACTTGAGATGAACATATTACTTCTCACTTCTCGCTTAGAAAATCTTACATTTCTCCATTACTACAACTCTGAATCAAATGTCGGGTTCCTTTTTACTTTTTTCTCTTAATAACTGCCATCATGGCAGTTGGGATTTTAAGATTGAATCTGTAAGATAGACACCCATGCATGCCTTTTCTCTGCTATTAAATTCCATGCTTTAATTTATGGCTTCTCTTATTTAATTTAGAATTCATGGAGGAAACGATATAATGAAGAGTTCATCTTCCCATTATGAGGGCATCAACTTTCCTATCATCTTCCTTAACTGCTGCATATTTTTCTGTGGCTGTAAATTGTTGTTTGACTGAACTTGGTGTATAAATGGACAGATTTAGTTTGCCAGTCTGGACGTGGCTCATGGCCGTCTTTCATGTATGCCAAATCTGCAGTTTATCCTATGGCACATAGTTCAGCACAGGTTTGTACTGAACTTCTTTAACTCCTTGAATTGATTGCTTTTAATATGTTTCATTCTTAGTATTTGTACTTCAGTGGAAGAACTTTTAGGCATGGTTGTGAGATGCAATGGAAAGAACATAAATATGTGGCTCTGGTTCTGTCATCAATAAATTGATAAGGCATTTATAACCAAAGAAAGTATCATTGGAGTGGGTTCGCAAACATCAGGGCATATTTTTGTAAAGGGAACATTACATTGAACAGTTAGCAATGTTCAAAAAGGCAGAGGCAGCCGCCTAGGTGGCCAGGTGGCCACCTAGGTGGGCGTCCAGATACCTGGGAGGCCCTATGGGAAGGGGGTTGCGGTGGGGGCCATATGTTGTTTTGTATGTGTGTGTTTTGTGAATGTGTGTGTATGTGTTTGTGTATTCATGCGCATGTATGTGTGTGTCTGAGGTCTCGCATGAAATTCTTAAAGATCATCCTCTCTTTTTCTTTTTTATTCTTTTGGATCTGTTTTGGTGAGAGAGAGGTCTCGAACACTTAGAGGATATGGAGAGAGAGAATATGTGAGAGAGAGGGACCTCACATCGAACACTTGGAGGACATGTTCTTCTTTTTGTTATTCTTACATGTAAAGAGGGAGCATATGGGTCCATGTGTATCTTTGTGTGTGTATGTGTGTGTGCGTGAGAGAGAGAGGCTGCACATCGAACACTTGGAGTCCATCTTCTTCTTTTTCTCATATATAGAGAGAGCACATAGACTTGAGAGAGAGAGAGAGAGAGAGAAAGAGAGAGAGAGAGAGAGAGAGAGAGAGAGAGAGAGAGAGAGAGAGAGAGAGAGAGAGAGAGAGAGAGAGTAGTAGTAGTAGGTAGGTTAGTTAGTAGTAGTAGTAGTAGTACGTACGTACGTACGTACGTACGTACGTCGTACGTACGTACGTACGTACGTCGTACGTACGTAC